AGCTATGAGCCAATGTAGCTGCTGCTAGTGCCGGGCCTGGGGCCACTTATCAAGCTGTATGGGGCCCGCTGCTGCTTGTTTGAGAGATTTTAGGAAAGTCCTAAGCATGAGGCTCGAGAGGCCACTTGCACAGAAAAGCCCCTGGAAATGGCCTGGATGAGCTGCAGGTGGGGAGGGGCGGGGCCTCCGGGAATCACGGGGCGGGGCCAAAGGTGTGAGTCAGGTGCTGGCGATTCAAACATGGCGCCTGCCTGCCGGCTGTGTGCGGGGAGGACTCGCCACAGGAGCCATGGCCTCCGCCAGCCCTTCTGCCTGGGAGGAAGCCGCCCTCCGCCTCTCGCCCGGATCTCAGGCAGGTTAGTTCCTCCCCGAGTGTCCCGGGTCCTTTCAGGCTGCTGCCCGGCGCTGGGCTCAGAGGGAGCGTCCGAGTGAGTCCGTGCCGGGCCCTTTAGAGGAGCTGCTGGGGCTCCCGCAGCCTCCGCGACCCTCAGGGACAGTCCCCGCTGGTTTCACAGCCTGGAGTTGTGGGGACGTCTCTTCCCGGCCCTGGAGCCCTGCGCTGGGGGCCTGCTGTGGGGCTGGGACCCCTCCCTCCTCCAGGAAACCCCCACCGCCGAGATTCCCTCCCGGGTTTAAACCGGGGCACCGGGTGTGGGCCCGCGGCCAGGTCTCCGGGATTCAGCCCCGATCCGCCCGCGTCTCCGCCCCTCCTCCCGCTCTCGGTGCTGCTTCAGTTCCCTGGCTGTGGGGCTTCTGTGCAGCCAGGTCTCAGGAGGCTCTGAGTGCTGGTGGTTCTGTAGTTCAGTTGTAATTGTGATGTGGTTGCGGGAGGCAGCGGGGCAGCTGCTACCTACGCCACCATCTTGTTTCTCTCTATCCATTAANGTTCAGTTGTAATTGTGATGTGGTTGCGGGAGGCGGCGGGGCAGCTGCTACCTACGCCACCATCTTGTTTCTCTCTATCCATTAATTTATTCTTTGACTTTATTTTGTCATTGTGATTATGTATTTTCTGTTTAATATTTGTTTATTTTTCTTATTCTTTTGTTTTTATGTGTATGTTTTATTCTATTGCTTTAATCTTCTCCAGAAGGTTAAATGTTCAACTGGCTAAGGAGGCTTTTTCTTCTTTCTTACTGAAGTCCTTTTTTTAATTTAACAGTGTGTCCTAGGAATCACTCCTCAGTTCACAGCAATCATTCTCATTCTTTTTATAACTGTGTAGCGTTTGATTTTTTTAGTGCAACCACTCTCCTACTTGAGGGTATTTATGTTGTTTCCATTATTTTGTAATTACAAACAGTGATACCATACATAAACTTTTACATTTATATTTTGTATTGTTGGAGGTATATTCTTCAGGATAGATACCTGGAGGTACATTTGAAGGATTTTTTAAAAAGTGCATATGTAGTTTTGTCAGGTCTTACCAGCTTTCCCCCTTGAAGGTTTATACCAATTTACAAGCCCACTAGGAATATACCCTGGCACCTATATCTCCACAGCCTGGCCAACAGAGTGGTCATCACATACGGGGTGTCCTGAAAACACATGTACACACACTTGCTGTTTTTGTCATACAAACACTTTCACTCGTTAGGTCATAAAATCATTCCTGTGTTATGGCATTCAAGCAATAAAGTTAAAAAGCCTGTGCCTACACCAAGGTTTAAGAAGTATTCACCCAAATTTTCCTCTTGCATATCCATAGTTTCATTTCTTTACACTCAGATGACTAATTCACTCAGAGTTTGTTTTGTGTAGGGTGTGAGAAATAAACTTTATTTAACCTTTTTCCAATGTGCTATTAATCTTTCTCATTTTTCCCAGAATCATTTATTAATAAGTTGCTCTCTACTCCAGTGAGATGAGATTCCATGATATTCATGTACGAAGTTTCCACAGGTATTTGGGTCTAGGCATGAACTTTCCGTATCATTCTTCAGATCTATTTGATCTGTTCTCTGCTCTTGGATATTTTACTATTTTTCTTTAATCAAACTTATTAAAATTTTATTTGCGCTTACTATCCCTTAGGCAACTCAACTTCTGCTTTCTTTTTCATTTCTGAGATGATTTTGTTTTCTTTATGAATTTCTTTCTCTCAAGTTTTATGAACTCTTTTTTTTTTTCATTTTTTCTCTTTAAGAATTCATCTCTGTTCCTAGTTTTTAATATTTAATTCAAGTTGGTTTTTATATTCTCAAAATCTTTTTTGAGAATACTTAATTCTGTTTAGTGTGTAGGCTTGCAGGTTCCTTTTGCTTCATGATGATTTTTCTGCTAGTGTGAACCCTCCTCAGTCTATCTGACAGGTTTCCTTGGTCTACCTTTGCTTGCTGGTCTTGGGGCTCAGGGATGACTGCCCCAAGATATTCCACAATGGCATATTGGTGATTTTGAACTAAAATGATTTGAGAAGCTGCAAGAGTGGGAGCAGCACTCTGACCCTCCTCTGTCTGTCTAAAGGAAATAAATCATGTGACAGGTGCCCGCTCTGCTCCTAAGGGCTGAGAGATGACCTTATCACCAGAGTTAAAAAATCCAGAGTTGGAAAAGCCTGTATAAATGAACATTGTAACACCTTCACTAATTTACTACATAAGCCCAAACCTTGCTTTTGTTCCTGCAAACGAGCACTTTCTTCATCCTGTCAATTTCTCACAATTTTATTGTTTGCCTAAAAAGCATAAAAAGGGTGCCTAGTTTGTTCATTTCTTTGGGCCTTATTTTATGATCTGAGGATCGTATCACATTGTTATTCTCCTGTCCACACATATTAAATTGATTTTTTCCCCCTCCTGTCAGTCTAGTCTTCTGTCAATTTTATTATTTCATTACCAGTCCAGCTGTAAGAACTAAGTGTGTTGGGGGGAAGACTTCCCCCCACCCTGACACCAGAATGGGGTCAAAACCTGTATTATGAATGCACTGCTATTTGTTAATTTTTCTCTTTTTACTGAGAGTGGTTTTGCCGTTTTTAGCATCATCTGTCTTCAAGTAGTTTGAGGATTTGGTTTTGTATAAACATATCATGGATGTGTAGTTATTTCAAATCTTTTGGGAAGGATGCTTACCCTACTTCCTCTATTGTATACAGCTAAAGAAAATCTTTCATGTGTTTTTGGATTCATTAAAATGTATTCATGTCTTGGCTCATCAAAGATGTTTTTACTGCCCCAACAATACAACATGTGCCATCCATCTCTCAGGCAATTATTGTGACAATTGTTACCTTTTGTAAATTCATACTATTCTATGGGAAGAGCCCTAGTTACTTGATAATCATGTTTTTATTGACTTTTCAAAATAATTCTGCCACTGGGCTTTTTATAATATTCATTTTAACTATAACTAAGCTGGGGCATAGAAGGGGCTAGAAAAATTGCCCAAGTTTATACTGGAAAACAATAGAGCTGAGATTTAAACTATGTCTTTCCTATTCCAGTGCTCATATTATTCAAACCAATTTATATAATTTTCAACAGTTAGTGGGTAGAATTAGTCTGAGATAAAGCCCTGGGAAACCTTCATATGAAAGCTTCATGTCAACTCTGGAAGTCACCACTTCTGGCCAGTACATTTCTCTCCTAAAAGAGAGCAACCTTGACAAACTTGACCTTTAAACATTCATTATCACAAGTGGACCGAGGAAAGGAAACTTAGTATACAACTGCTATAAATTTGTGATCAGTGAAAACACACACAAAAAACTGACAACTCAGGTATCCTATTTGCCATTTCAGTTTTATGAGCTTTAAAATTTTAATAGACAGCATTTTTAAAAAATATTCTGGATTTTGGTTATAAGTCAGCAAGATATTGCTCTAAATTTTATGAAATTAGGTTATACAAGATAACAACAAAAGAGCCATGTAAGTTTGATGTCTGTTTATTAATTTCACAGTGACTAATAATAGCTTAATACAATTTTCTTTTGATGCTAAACATTATATATTGATGAATTTTAAAAATCAAGAATTATTAATTGAGCAAAATAATCATAACATTAATTTTAATTTAAAATTAAGAATACATGGACAGAATCTTAACAAATGAGCATAAATCAAAAACAACAGAAGCAAGAAAACTATATGGTTATGATCATGTTAAATTTTTTGCTGTTGCAAAAAACAAATTAGAAATGTTTATTGATGACTCATTTTTCCAGAATTGCCTAATAATGTTTTCAAGAATTGCTTCTAAAAGCTCTAGAGCTAGCTTTCTCGAACCATCTGTCTTCATTAAACTTTTCCAGATAATCAACGAGAATGACCCTGGAAAAGATATAACATGTTTACATGTAAGTTTGAACCCAATTATTGAAATGTTTACTTTAAATAAAACTCTATGCATTTTGCATATAAATAATATATGTTCATTACATGATAATTGTACACTTAATTTTTTTAATTTAAAATTTATTGACCAGCTCTTCAGATAAAAATCAGTAAGAAAAATTAAGTAACTCCCCAGAAAACCAGGTAAAGTACACGAACATGTTCAAAGATTGTAAATTCATATAATTGTGAAGCAACATTTTCTATACAACAAACATACAATTTATAGAAATTGCTATATGATAGTGGGTTGGAGAAAAACAGGAACGTTAATTCATAGTTTTATGACAAAAATGGAAACTCCTGGGTTATAGATGAAAAAAATGGACTTGAGGTAGTGTGGCGGCTTCATGGTCAATAAGGACCCATGAGAAAGGACAGATCATGAGTGGAAGGATCAAAATCTGTTAAATGGATACCCATAGGAAATCATGACTTTCTTTGAAAGTATGTGTTATAATTATATGTACATATATATATGTACATATAGATATAGATATAATCATTTCCTTAACTCAATGTAATATTGATTTTCTTGAAAGTATTTTTATGAGGTCCTTACCTGTAGCGTTATCCATTTCACGAACAAGATTTAAACCAAACAGTGCCGTGTTTTGAAGGTCAGTAAAGTCACTGATGTAGGGGGCTCTATCCCCATCAACAAGAACTCATGGTGGCAGACTCCTCTGGAAATTATATACTCTATTCAAGGTTGTAGGGAAAAGGGCTGCAGCTATATATTCCACATTTATAGCCCAACTTCTTGCAAAATTTTCTTCTGGTTTAGAATAATATTTCAACCTAAAAGACAAGTGAACACATGTGCAATTATAATTAGTCCACTCAGAATTTCAGCTTCAGCGTTTTCTTTCTTTTTTTTCTTTTTTTAAATATATCTTTATTGATTTCAAAGAGAGGAAAGGAGGGGGAGAGAGAGATAGAAACATCAATGATGAGAGAGTCATTGATCGAGTCCACAACCGGGACATGTGCCCTGACCGGAAATCGAGCCCTGATCGCCTGGATCCCAGGTCAACACTCAACCTCTGCGCCACGCCCGGCCGGGCAGCTTCGGCGTTTTCTAAGAAAAAGCCATCTTCTGACAACAAACTAAGAATGTAGGTCTTAGTTTAAGAATGTCATGGCTTGAGCTCCTACCTTTGAAAATACAAATATAGGTAGTTAAAATTTTAAATTTGTAAAGGACCATCCAATCAGGTGTTTATATTTTATTTTGAGTTTTATCACTTTTAACAAGATACCTTATCTTTGTATATTACATAATAACCAGATATTAGACTATGACAAAGTAATACCCTTTAGAAATGTGCAGATAAAAATCAAAGATTTCAAGGCAGCATTTTTGCTAGACTCAGGCATCCTTTGTAACTATTGATTTCCTGAAGTCAGGAGGCCCCCAAAATATTGAGCATCCTAGAGAAAGAGATGTGCAATTTCCTTGTCCCAATTTTCTAAATACATGGGCTTTTCCTGCAGGACAAAAAAAAGTCTTCTAGGAAATCAAATTCTCTCACATATTTGAGGAGCAAATTATTATAACGGTAAGGTTAAAAGTGTAGCAAATCATTTTTTGCTGTTGTCGTTGTTCATCCTCACCTGAGGATGTTTTTTCCAGTGATTTTTAGAGAGAGTCGAACAGATGGAGGGAGAAAGAGAAAGAGAGAAACATCGATGTGAGAGAGATGCATTGATCAGCCGCCTCCTGCACGTGCCCAGTGGGGCAGGGGATCAAACCTGCAGTCCAAGCATGTACCCCTGACCTGGAGCCAAACCCACGACCCTTTGGTGTGTGGGCTGCTGCTCTAACCACTACGCCATGCTGGCCAGGGCTGGAGTAAATCATTTTGTAACTATGTAATTCATAGTTCCTGTCCTCATCAGCTGCCTACACATGCTGAACAACTTGCAGTTTTTTTAAACAGACTCATTCCTCTTAAAATATTGTCTATTCCCTGCTTTGCTCACCAGCTACATTTTCTTTCAAGTCACATCCTAGATTCCACCTCCTTTACAAAGTTTTCCCACTCACCTGAGGCAGAATTGGCTATCCTCCTCAGGTGTATTCCCATGACACCGTATCAATCATATAGTTAAAGCTTATTTTCTCATTAGATTATATCCTAATTTCTGCCTCCACAGCACATATGCAAGGTTCATTAAATAGAAAATGCTTACATTATGTCTGTCAATGCTAAATAAGCTGTAACATAACCAGGAAGATACATCTTGCCATGTTTGGTTCCCATGCTGGTGGGCTCCTCCCTGACCTTAATATCCAGAATTAGAAGAGTGAGTTCAGTGGACCCTTGATGAAAGAAGAGTTTGGCTTAGATTCAGAGTCTGCTATCTTCAGTCACATCACAGCTGACTATGAAATAAGCATTAAGGGATATGTGAATACATAAGGAATTTGAGCAATGGCCATACACCTTAGCAGCAGTGAGTTAAACAAACTGCAAAGAAATCAGCAACATTAGGAGAGAAAGAAAGACACTGGAGTACCAGTTCAAGGTACAGAGAGCATATGAGCGGAAGTGAAACTCAACAGAAGTCTTTCAAATAATTTAAATAAATATAGTATTGAAACATTTAGCTAACTACATTTAAGATGTGGTCAAGTAAAAATATTAAAATATATCTTAAAAGGCTCATTTTAATTTAAAATATAAATATATATGCACAAGCCAATTTTAAGATCCAAGACCACAGAATTTTATTAAGTATATGTAGACTACACAGAGTTCAGCATTGTTTTATGTAAATAAAAAAATCCTACTATATTTTTTACCTAGAAAAAGTAACATATGAGACTTTAAGGAAGTTCCCCAGCATTAGTAGATCAAAAACATGGCCCCAATTCTTCAATACTCTACATATTCTTATTTTTTGGTATATAATTATTCAACATGGTACTGGAAGTCCTAGCTAAAAGGTATTCAAATTGGAAAGGAAGAAGTAAAACTGTCGTTATTGCGGATGACATGATACTGCAAATAGAGAATCCTAAAAATTCCACCAAAAAAAACCAACTATTAGAACTAATAAATGAATTCAGTAAAGTAGCAGTGTACAAGACAAATGTTCAGAAATCGGTTGTATTTTTATACACCAATAATGAACTATCAGGAAGGGAAACTAAGAAAACAATCCTATTTACAATTGCATTAAAAATACACACACACACACACACACACAAAACCACCTAGGAATAAATTTAACCAAGGAGGTAAAGGCCTATACTAGGAAAATTACAAGACTTTCAAGAAAGAAATACAAAAAGATACTAATAAATGAAGCATATACCTGTGCTCATGAATAGGAATAATTAACATAATAAAAATGTCCATAGTACCAAAAGCAATCTATAGATTCAACACAATTCTTATCAAAATACCAATTTTTTTTTTCATAGAACTAGAAGAATAGTCCAAAAATGTGTATGGAACTGCAAAAACCCCCAAATAGCAAAAGCAATCTTGAAAAAAAAGAACAAAGTGGAAGATATCACACTACAATGTTAAACAATACTACAAACCTATAATAATCAAAACAGCATGGCACAGGCATAAAAACAGACACATAGATCAAAGGAACAGAATAGATAGCCCAGAAATAAACCCATGCATATATGGATAAACTTGGAAGCAATCCAAATTCCTATCAATAGACAAGTAAATTAAAAAACTGTGGAACATATATACAATGGAATACAATTACTCAGCCATAAAAAAGAATGAAATTTTACCATTTGCGACAAGGTGGATGGACCTAGGGGTTATTACGCTAAGTGTAATAAGCCAGATAGAGAAAGACAAATATCATATGATGTCACTTATATGTGGAATATAAACAACAAAATAAATGGACAAACAAAATAGAAACACACTTATATATACAAAGAACAGATGATGGATGCCACAGAGGAGGAGTGTTGGGGATGACATAAAAAAGAATAATGGGATTAAAAAGTACTAATTGTTAGTCAGAAAATAGTCATGGGAATGTAAGGTAAAATATAGGAAACATAGTCAACAATATTGTAATAACTATGGTGCCAGGTGAGCACTTGAAATATCAGAGAGAATACTTTGTAAACTACATAAAAGTCTACCTACTGTACACCTGAAACTAATACAAAGCAGTGTTGAATGAAAACTGTAATCAACAAATAATATAGTAAAAAACAAAAACTCCATCTATAAAAAGTTTGCTGTTTGCCTCATACATCTCATGTTTAGCACATCTCTTGATTGCATAATTTTCTCTTGTGTTGATTTAATCTCGTGTGGTTTAGATATGTCTAGATACCCAATACTCACCATTGTGTTACAGTTACCTCCAGTATTCAGTACAGTTATATGCTGTACAAGTTTGTAGCCTAGAAGCAATAGACTATACCATATAGCCTAGATGTGTAATAGGCTATACCACCTAAGTTTGTGTAAGTACACACTCTGATGTTTGTACAATGATGAAAATGCCTAATAATACATTTTTTCAGAACATATTTTCATCATTAAGCAACGCATGACTGTACATTAAAAAGGTAGAGGCATATTTTTATTGTTTAATAGCTTTTAATATATTTTAGGAAAGGAAGAAGAAACTTCATAGATATTGACTTCTGAAAGCTAGTTTGGAGGTCACACACATTGAAGGCACTGCAGCCTATATGGTGAGATGAGGGGCTATGGAACCACAGGGAATTTAATTACCAGCCCTGTCATTCACTAATTGTAAGATTTTAATCAAGTTCCTAAACAACTCAGTTTCATATTCATGATCTACAAAAATAAGTTATTCTGAAGGGAGATATTATATTAAAATGCTTGGTGAAATTTCATTTACTTATTGTACTTAAGAAATGGTAACTATTTTAAAAATCCACTTAGGAGGGCCATTTGTTGACACTTAAATGAAGGGTTAAGTAAGAAAGATAGAATTTCAGGAAATAAAATGAGTTGATAAATAAAACAGTAATATTTTGTTATATTTAGTGAAGAAAGTGCTCTAATAATGTCAGGAAACTGATTTATTTTTTGGTTTATAAGCTTGTAATCAAAATGGTCATATACAGGTTAAACTTATTCACTAAATATTTTATATGCTCTGTAATTTTGGAGTAATTTTTAAATAAACTTGACCTGTTAAAAATATTTTTTTTTCAAAAGCAGCTCCACTACATAAATAGGAATAAATACTATAAGCTTAAAAGCCTAAGTCCACAAAAGAAAGGAAATATAAGAAAACAAATTCTGCAATATCCTTCACTTTTAACTAAATCTTATTTCCTATACACAAAGTTTCATTCTCTAGTGATTTACCTTTGTGTAAAAACCTGAAAAAGCTGTAAATAGAAAAGGAAACTAAAATACGACTTGCTATCTGTCAAATCTTGAGTTTGACAATTCCAACTTGAATTCCTGGTCTGATCATCTTATCCCTGTTTCCTGTCATCAGAATAGAAAGAGCAGTTGAGTTACAACTGTTGTGATGGCACAGCCCTAAGTCATATCACTGGCTGCCAAGGGAGAAAACCCCTCCGTTGCTCAACATAATATCTAGTTGTCGAAGCCAAAGCAATAGGTAGAGGAGGAAATGTGCTGTGAATTTGCTAATCAGGTTATTTATTTACCCTACTGGATGATGGAGTCAATGAGAGAGACAACCATGAAATATGAGATACTCAAATGTTCCTGCCTGGATTTACAAATATACAGCCCCATCGGGCCTTGATTTTGTTTGTTCCTTTTTTTTTTACCATACCCAGATTTTTACCCCATATTTCACTCTTGGTGATTGACTACACCCCTAGATAGTGTCTGTGATGGTTGATTTTACGAGCCAACTTGACTGAGCCAAAGAAAGCCCAGCTATTTGGCCAAATATATTTTGGGTGTTTCTGTGAGTGTTTTTGGAAGAGATTAATACTATTTAAATCAGTAGACTGAGGAAAGCAGATTGCCCTCCATAATGTCAATGGGCCACATTCATTCAGTTGACTGTCTCAATAGAACAAAAAGCTTATTTTCCCTTGAGTAAGAGAAAATTCTCTTAGCTGACGATTGGAACGTAAGTTCTTCCTGGTTCTATAGCAGCTGCTGGCCTTTGAACTAGAGCTGCAGAGCTGGACATTGGCTTTGCAGATTATGAACTTGCCAGCCTCCGTAATCATAGAAGTTAATTCCTTATAATCTCTGTCTCTCTCTTTCTCTGGAAAACCCTGACTAACACAGTGTCCGTCAAATCTTAGCGCAAATTATTCTTACACCTTCATATCTAGGTATATAATACCTCTAGGTTTACATGTGGAGTGGCTTGCTAATCTTCCAGGCTATTTTGTGTACTAACCCTGATGCTGGTTGATTCCCCCCCCAAAGTATGTACCTATCATATTCTTTGTCTGTGATCAAAATAATTAATAAAATGTTGTTGTTTTAAAATAGAGAGAAACTGAATGCAAGTTTTATTTGTTGGTTGGCTGGTATAAGATTTTTCTTCTCAAATGTGTGCCCTTTCTTCATAAAACACTTTTTAAGCCTGATCATACTAAAATATTTATACCTCATCATTAAATACTCCAATTATTAGATATATTATTTAATAGGAAGAATGAGAGTCATGTTAAAAGAAGACTATAAAAACATAAATAAACCCCAAAATTATTTGCCACGTTAAATAAAAATGATTTGGGATCCATTCTTACCTTTCGTCAAATATTTTCAAAGTTTCTTCCAAGGTTGTGGTATGTGCAACCCATAAGTGCTTCAACAAGTCCTCAAAGCTACTAGAAGGTAACTGCAAATGCTATATATAGTAAAGAGGAGAAATTAGTTCATGTTTGAGCAAGTATAGCAATTGCTCTCCCCACAATTTAATCTTGTTCAAATTTACACTTTAGCAATATTCTACATAAAAGGAGAATTTTGTGTCTAAGAAATAATTTGTGTAAGCTATCAGTCACTAACGCTCCAGAAAAACTATAATAATTATCTATTATTAGTAGTAATATCAAGTGCATTTACAAGAAATGAACTGTAAATATTTTCCCAACAGTCAATACTTTATTTTTTATCATTTTTTTCTCTGCTACCACAGTTCCAAGTTATCACAAGAGTTTAAAAGTAAGGAAAAAATTATTAGAATATGTAATTTAAACTTATCTAAAATAATGAACTAAAACTAAAGAACTAGAAAATCTATGTTTTCAGCATTGATCTTGGTCCATGTCTATGCTTAACCAATGTATTTTATATTGGTCATTGAATATTTGATTTTGATTGCCCCACAGTTGCCAGTTCTACCTATATGTGATCATTTATTAATGCAGTTTAAATAAGTTAATTGACTGGTTAAAAACCAACACTATAATCATATTTCTCTCAAGTTATCCCATGGTTCAATTAACCAGGATAATCTCATTCAGTGAGATATCCTGGGGGGGGGCTCTCACATTTACATATAATTTTTTTAGGGTGAGATGAGTGGATAGATTTTGTGCTAATGCTGTATTGGCTCAAGGATATTAATGACATGTAATGTCCTGCTGCAATGTAACAATATTATCACTTGCATAAAACTTATATTGTAATACTTAGGAAAATATTGTATAATACACACACAAAAATTAACCAAAGTATTATACCAAAAAAAAAGAAATGATCTTNGATAGATTTTGTGCTAATGCTGTATTGGCTCAGAGGATATTAATGACATGTAATGTCCTGCTGCAATGTAACAATATTATCACTTGCATAAAACTTATATTGTAATACTTAGGAAAATATTGTATAATACACACACAAAAATTAACCAAAGTATTATACCAAAAAAAAAGAAATGATCTTACCACCTCCTAAGAGAATAAATTACAAATATTAAAAAAGAAACCTGGTAGAAGACATTCCACTTCCTCATTGTCTTAGAGAAGGCTGACTGACAAGTAGAAACACTGAGACAAAACTTCGTCTCATCCTCGGGTGGTGGCAAAAGTATGACTTGGTCTGATGATATCCCCATTATGCCAGAATCAACCGCAGCAAGGAAGGGTAATGCACAGAGAAAGTAATTGAGGTCTGTAAGAGCAAAATACCTATTATCACCACAAGCACTAAAGAATGGGATAGAGGATATTTTTAAGTAATCTATAAACCATTAAGCAAAAACTCACAGATCCAGAAAAATATTAAAACAGTCACTGCAAGAAAATTGAAATTCTCTAAGAATTATATATATAACTTTAACATGTGTCTGTTAATACCTCTACAATCATAAATAAATATGAGTCAAAGTAGTTAACAATAATATTTTAAAACAAAAAGTGATTTTAATGGATTTGGTAATACTTATTTTTTAAAGCATTAAGTATAAAAGGAAGATATTTACTTGTGCACAGAATAATACAACACTTTTAACTGAGGTTTTAGCATGAAATGTGATTGTTTTCTAAAATATTTTAATGTGGTTATAGCATTGATATTTTGTATTTTATTTAACCAAGTTCAATGTGCAACCATTAGGTTTTTAAAGTAAAAATGGTGGGTAAGGGTGACAATAGGTCTTTGGATAATTAAATTGACAATGAATTAAGGGTTTTTTCCTCTCTAAATAGAACCTATTCCAGCAGATTTAGATGTTATAATATCGTTGCTATAAAGCTTAAAGCGATTTCCACTGGTGATGCGGAAAACTTTTCATCGTACACATAACATACATTTGTGAAGGCAGATGCACACCCAGTGCTGCAGACTGATACTCCAAACTACCAAGTCAATCTGAAAATAAAGAAACTTGATTCTAGCTCTTTCTGCCACATCTACTGAGAGGTGAAGACCATTCTCAGCAATCAGACTGCGACATTCCAAAAAACGTCGACATCACTCTGAAGGGATGCCCAGTTTTTGTGAAGGGCGCCAGAGGCACCCTGGAGAGGGACTTCAATCACATCAATGTAGAACTCAGTCTCCTTGGAAAGAAAGAGGCTCTGGGTGGACAAGTGGTGCAGCAGTAGAAAGGAACTGGCTGCAGTTATGTACAGAACATGGTCAAGGGTATTACACTTCCCCATGAAAGTCATTATTCAGAAGAATGGTTCTTTTGTTGAAATCAGAAATTTCTTGGATGAAAAATACATTTGCAGAGTTCGGATGAGGTCAAACGTTTCTTGTTCAGTATCTCAACCCCAGAAAGATGAGTTAATTCTTGAAGGAACTGACATTGAACTTGTATCAAATTCAGCTGCTTTGATTCAGCAAGCCACGACAGTTAAAAACAAGAATATCAGAAAAATGTGGGATGGTATCTATGGTTCTGAAAAAGGAACAGTTCAGTAGGCTGATGACTAAGATCTAAGTTTTCTAGCTACAGCAACAGCAAGATGCCGGATGATTCCTCAGACTTGTGATATTTTAAAGATGCAATAAGTCATCCTTGTATTGATTTGGGGGGAGGGGAAGAAATTTGATTCTAGACCTGTGGCCATGACTCTTTGTGGATCTTTGAGAAGAACCAATCAATTTCATTTTAGAAAAATATGTAAAGGTTCATATGATGTGTGTCACTCCAAGAAAGTGAACTGTAGTGTGATCTTGTTACTAATTATTGAGAAATATCTCTAAGAAATTGTGTGTAAATTAATTTCATTACTAAAACAAAATAAAGAACTAGAAAACAGCTTCTGATTATTGTCATATTCAATATGTGACTGAAGCCTTAGACTACTGCTTGACAAAAATGATCTGTGGTAGACAAATCTCTGTCTACAGGTTTAAAACCTAAACACACTTGCTCTTAGCAAAATGAGAAAAAGTATTATTTTCTTGTTCTCTCATTTCCTTGTCACTGGTGGGACCTCCCACTTAACCATGAGTGTTGGTCTGTCAGAGGCCACCATCCTTTGCAGTTCCTTGTTTCAGTCCTTCTGTGAAAAGCAGAATATGTCCTAAGGAATCATTATTGACATTTTGTGGCTGTTAAATACCAGAATGTGACATAAGGCCACAAGGTACATGATGAAGATTCCTTTTACCAAAGGAATAGTGCTGCTTTTGTTTTGTCTCTGTCCCTAGAATTTTATGTTGAATACATGTTCTGGTGGTGGTGTTTTCTTGGGGGGGGAGGGGGCAGGGTGTATTATCTACTTTGCTATTTAAATGAACCTACCAGCCCACCAGCTGTTCACAGAGATGCACTGACGATCTCCAGATTCATAGCCACAGTCTGTCCTCCGGCTGGGATCAGCTAATCTGCCTAGAAGAGAGGAGAGGCACCACTTATTTATTAGGCACATTTTGAAACTGGCTATAACTGTCACTTGATTAGGAGCTTTTCTTTTCTTTTTGCAAAGATGCACAAACATTTATCTTTTTAATAATTGTTTTTATTTTTTAATTACAGTTGGTACTCAGTATTATATTAGTTTTAGGTGTACAACATAGTGATTAGACATTTGTATAACTTAAGAAGTGATCCCCCCAATAAGTCTAGTACCCAGCTGACACCTCATATAGTTATTACAACATTACTGACTATATATTCCCTGTGCTGTACTTTACATCCTCACGACTATTTTGTAACTGCCAATTTGTACTTCTTAATCCCTTTACCCACTACACCTGACAATCATCAGGCTATTCATACATTTATCACCTGATGATGAGTATTTATCTTCCTATCACACTTTGTCCTTTATTTCTCTTCTCTGAACCAATTTATTTTATTACTAAAATTTTCTACTTTGGAATGGCCTGTCTTGAATATTATTTCCTTTTGTAATTTTTCTCTCTTCTACTTCTATTCTTCCTTTCTAAACGAGGGAGGTAATAGGCACACAGATTAAAAGAGGTCTATAGGCAAATCAAATTCCTGCTTTGTCATTGACTCAGTTTACCTTTGCTAAATAACTTCCCATTTATGCCTTAGTTATAAAATGGTGATAGTAATATTACTAATTATTACTACTGACCCCACTTTGTTTCCTGTTTCGCACTTCTAACTTTTGTTGGAGAGTTGTTATGTACTGTTCTCTGTTTAATTTTTGCTATCTTTCCTGTTCCAGTGGTGTTGTAAGATCTTTGATGGCAGGGAAACTGTCTGAAATACTTATTTCCACTCCACCCCCTCCCCACTGCTCTTAGAAAATGCTGTGTTTAGTCAGGCTTGATTCTAATGTGTGAATGTAATGAAAGAATAAGAAAGGCATTAATTTATCAGCCCATTCAGCCTCCAACTACTACAGACCTGCAGGCCCCTGAGGCTGACATGCTTCCCATAGTGAACTATATGTTCATGATTTCTCCTGGACCATGGTCTTTTTGACTCCAAAGAAAGCCAGATAAACAGGAGTAGGTTTGGGTCTCAAGATATACTCTGACAATGATGGATGGCTTGCCAACCTCAGTAGCTCCTGTATATGACCCCTGCAAAGGCCACAGATAAATTCTGATCTCCCTATATTTTTCCATAAGAACTGAACTAATACCCTTATTGGTGGTGTTATCAGTATGGAGTGGGCAAGAGGCACCGCTGTTTTTCATGAGCTCTTCTGTCTGCCAAGACAAAAATATCCTTTAATTTGTGAATCTTTGGCACAAATGTATTTTCTAAGTGAACACTAAATGTACTTTATTTTCAAAAGGAATAAGTCATTTGCAGGGAAATACCCTTATGAACAAGGTGCCACTACTTGCCATCACCCCCAAAGGTCACCATAATTAGAACTCTAAGGAATTGAAACTAATGTGATATCACCTCTGTTTTTAATATATCTCTTCCTCTTGACTATTTTGTTCATCTCAGTGTTTAGAATGGGTTCTGGCACCTAATAGAAATTGAATAAATACTTTCAGAATGCTCAATAGATTAGAAATGAAGTGTTTCTGTGTTTGGCAACTATACTATATGCCCATTGCAGTTTCTACTAAAAACAAGCCACACATAAAAGAAGGACTTATGGAAGAGAAGAAGGAGAGAAATAATGGTTATGTGGGGGAAACAGGGAAAATAAAATAATTAATTTTGAGAACATCGTATGATATATAGAGAGAGTCCCATTTCCCAATTACTATGTGGCTATATTGGTAGATCATTAGATTGAAAAACAAGAGGAATTCTTACCTGATCTATATTGCCAGCCATGCTGCAGAGGCAGTCCCCATAATGGATTTTGTTCATTTTCTGGGGCATATTTTTCAAAATATCTGGCTGTCTGGTTTAGTAGAATTTTATACATGCCCATTCTCTCAGGATATACCCAGGGGTTGATAATGGCCTTTCCATTCTCCACCAAGTAGTCACTGAACTGACCAGGACTCTTGTTCCATAAGGGAGGGTAGAGAGCTGAGAGATTGGAGGCTTCTGCTGAAGAAACAGAAAAACAGGCAATTAGTAAGCAGGCCCAAGGGGAAAGGAAAGCCATCATACCAAAGCTGGGGACTGAGACTGTGGCAGGCCTTTTATTGAGAAATGAGGAGGAAGTCATAGTATTCGTTTGCTTAGATGCCAATATAGTAACAGTGTGTGCTTTTCAATAGACTACAAATAAAAGTACCTTTCCAATGAAAATAGGATTCTTTATTAGTTAAATAACATTAATAACATAGTTTGTGGTTTAAAAAGTTACTGAAAATTTTAATGTTGATTCAGTAAATATTTTGAACACTTTTAGAAAATGCCTATTATATTTCCATTGTATTTTTATGCCTACTAAATTAAGTATACTCCTGCAGGGGTAGCTCTACCTTATTTGTTTAAATTTAAAGATATGGGCATTTACTTTGCAAAATTTACATAGCAGGCCTGTGGCTGCTATAATTAAAAAAAACAAAACAAGAGGCAGAGGCAAACCTCAGAGTGCTGTGAGTATTTGCCTGATCTGCTTCTGGAGCTGGGCCTTGGAAAAGCAGACTTTGGTGTGCATCTTGGTCCTGTCCAATAGCACCCAGCCCCAGCAGAGGAGACCTCAAGCAGAGGGTTGTTGATAGCTCCAAACAGGATCCTCAGGATCAGTCACAAACTGTGTCTGACATTGGCCTGCACCAGAGACCCTCCAAAAAGACTGAGAGTCCTAGCAGGCCTACCTAATATATAGAAACAAACCCAAGCAGACAGTCAAAATGGGGAGACAAAAAAACAAGCTCCAAATGAAAGAACAAGAGAAGTCTCCAGAAAAATAGCTAAATGAAATGGAGATAAGCAATCTCTCAGATATAGAGTTCAGAATACTGATTGTAAGGATGCTCAACAGCATGAAAAAAGATATGGAAGCTATGAAGGAAATGAGAATGACATAGCAGAAATAAAGAACACATTGGAAGGAATAAACAGCAGATTAGAGGAAGCTGAGGATCAGATCAGTGAATTAGAAGACAGGGTAGAAAAAGGCAATGAGAGATCCAAAAAGAAAAAAACAATTAAAAAACAGGAGGACAATCTAAGGGAACTGTGGGACAACATAAAACATGACAATATTTGCATTATAGGAATGGCAGAAGAGGTTGAAAGTAAACAAGGGCTAGAGAACCTGTTTGAAGAAATAATGGCAAAAAACTTCCCTAAGCTGGTCAAGGAAAAAGTCACACAAGTTCAGGAGGCACAGAGAGTCCCAAACAAGAATCCAAAGAGGCCCACACCCAGACACATCATAATTAAAATGCCAAGAATTCAAGACAAAGAGAGAATGTTAAAGGCAGCAAGAGAAAAGCAATCTGTTACCTACAAAGGAGCCCTCATAAGGCTGTCAGCTGACTTCTCATCAGAAACTCTACAGGCCAGAAAGGAGTGGCATGAAGTGTAATGCAAAACAAGGATCTGAAACCAAGACTACTCTATCCAGCAAGGCTATCCTTCAAAATAGATGGTGAAATAAAGAGGTTCTCAGACCAAAAACAAGGCTAAAGGAGTTTATCACTACCAAACCATCACTGCAGGAAATGTTAAAGGAACTGCTGTAATTAGAAGTATAAAGAGAGAGAGAAGCATAGGCATAAAGAATTAAAATGGCAATAGATAAGTATCAATAATAACCTTAAATGTAATTGGGTTAAATGTCCCAAAAAAATGACAGGATGGCTGAATGGATTAGAAACATGACCCAAATATATGCTATCTACAAGAGACCCACCTCAAAACAAAAGACTGACACAGGATGAGAGTGAAGGGATGGAAAAAAATTTTCCATGCAAATGGAAATGAAAAAAACCTGGGGTAGCAATGCTCATATCGGATAAAATAGACTTCAAAATGAAGACTGTAGGGAGAGACAAGAAAGGTCATTAGATAATACTAAAAGGATCTATCCAACAAGAGGATATAACCCTGATAAACATATATGGATATATCAGATATAACCCTGATAAACCCAATATAGAAGCACCTAAGTTTATAAAAAACCTTCTAGAGGCCTTTCAGGGAGAAATTGACAGCAATAGAGTCATACTAGGGGACTTTAACACCTCACTGACTTCACTGGATAGGTCTTCCAGACAAAAAATCAACAAGGAATCAGTGACCCTAAATGACACACTAGATCAGATGGATTTAATTGGCATTTACAGAACATTCCACCCCAAAGTTGCAGATTATACATTCTTCTCAAGTGCACACGGGACATTCTCAAAGATTGACCACATATTAGGACACAAAACAAGCCTCTACAAGTTCAAGAAGATTGAAATCATATCAAGCATCTTCTCGGACCACAATGGCGTAAAATTAGAAATCAACTACAATAAAACACTAAAAAACATTCAAACACATGGAGGCTAAATAGCATGTTATTAAACAATGAATGGGTTACCAAAGAGATCAAGAAAGAAATCAAAAACTTCCTAGAAACAAATGAAAATGAACACACAACAATTCCAAGTCTATGGGACACAATGAAAGCAATCCTGAGAGGGAAGTTCATAGCACTACAGGCCTACCTCAAAAAACAAGAAAAACTTCTTATAGACTCTCTAACCCCACAACTTAAAAACTTAGAAAGAGAACAACAAGAAAAGCCCAGAGTAAGTAGAAGGAAGGAAATAATAAAGATCAGAGCAGAAATTAATAACATAGAGACTAAAAAAAAAATACAAAAGATTAATGAAACCAAGAGCTGGTTCTTTGAAAAGATAAACAAGATTGATGAACCTTTGGCCAGACTCATCAAGAAACAAAAGGAGAGGACCCAAATAAACAGAACCAGAAACAAAAGAGGTGAAGTAACAACTGACCCTACAGAAATACAAAGGACTGTAAGAGAATACTATGAACAAGTATACACCACCAAGCTGGACAACCTGGATGAAATGGACAGATTCCTACAGGTCCCTCCACGCTGTCTCAAAGGGTAAGAGTTCTTTATTTTTATAGCTGGGTCAAATGGCAATTCCATTTTTTAAGTTTTTGAGGAAACTTCGTACTGTTTTCCATAGTGGCTGCACCAGTCTGCATTCCCACGAGCAGCGCACTAGGGTTCCCTTTTCTCCACACCAGCACTTGTCATTTGCTAATTTATTAACGGTAGCCATTCTGGCAGGTGTGAGGTGATACCTCAGTGTCATTTTAATTTGCATCTCTCTGATTATTAGTGACTTTGAGCATTTTTTATATCTCTTTTGGTTATCCGTATGTCGAGACTACATCAAAATAAAAAGCTTCTGGACAGAAAAAAAAAAACACATCGACAAAATGCAAAGGATCCACTGTATGGAAGAACATATTTACCAATGATACATCTGATAAGGTGTTGATTTCCAAAATATATAAAGAACTCATACAACTTAGCAAAGGGAAGACAAACAACCCAATTTAAAAATGGGCAAAGACCTAAATAGACATTTCTCAGTTACTCTTAAGAGTTACTTTTCCTCTGGTTACTTATAGGAGCTTCTCTTTGTCCTTTGTTTTCAGAAGTTTGAATATATGCCAATTATTTTTTAAAATTTATGTATTCTGCTCAGTGTTTTCTGTCCTTCACAGGTTTGCACTTTTATGTGCATTATTAATTTGGGAAAACTCTAGGCAAGTAATTCAAGCACACCTTCTGTCCCATTGTCTTTCTCTGTTCTGCCCCCTCCCCAACTCTTTATTTTTTGTTCATTTAAGTCTTGGTAATTTCTATTCACCTATTTTCAAGTTCACCATTTATTTTTATTTTTTTGCCACAGGAAAATATACCTATGATTATATTGATGAGGCTGTCATAGGCAGTTTTCATCTCTTATGGTGTTGATTTTTAACATTTCCATTTGTTTATTTCTTATAGTTTCTATCTTATTAAAATTACATATATAATCTTGTATGTTGACCACTTTTTCCATTATAGTCTTTAACATATTAATCTAGATCAGCAATTTTCAACCTTTTTCATCTCATGACACACATAAACTAATTACTGAAATTCTGCAGCACACCAAATATATATTATATTTTTTGCTGATCTGACCAAAAAATAGGTATAATATTGATTTTAATAGCTATTGTTGTGTTGGCTGTTGTCATTTTTTAATTTGACCATCTAAGGGGAAAGAGGTCAGTGTTCCTGACTAAATAGTCAGGTATTTCATGTTTTAAAATTTCTTGCAGCACACCAATTGAAAATCACTGATCTAGATGTTTAAATTCCACTTGAGATGTTTTCAGCACCTGTAACATATCTTAGTCTGGTGCTAATTTCTTTGCATGTTGGGAGTACATTTATTTCTTTGACTTTTTATATGCCCCCAAATTTTTGAAACATGAAACATATTAAAAGAATAATAGTTAACCTCCATTGTACAAAGACAGATTATATTGAACTCAGAGCTAGGAATTTAGGTTATCTCAGGGCAAGAAAACTCCGAAGCTGAAAAAGGACAATCAGTTTTTTGTATGGATACAGGGCACATCTTCCCTTCTGTTAGGCCTTTGTGTGCATGTGAGGGTGGGGTGGAGGGTAGGGGTGTCGTGTCAACCTAGTTGAGCAGGATGTGATATTTGTTCTGTTATTATAGTTACACTCAATGAACCAGAGACTTCAAATTTTTCTACTGATATTTCGTGCTCTGTGTTGGGGATTGGTTTGCCAGGTGATTTATAAAATATTTGCTCTACCTTCAGCTTTAGATTTTTCCTTTCCGTTGTGCTATCTTCAAGGAGAGTCAGCCTCATCAGCTCTCCCAGCAGCATTGCGCTGACTTTTGCTTGACACGGCCTGGCCGTGGGGGTGGGGATCAGGAGCCATTCTTGGATGTTGGCATTCAGCCTCCGCCTTTGGTGGGCGCTGGTCAGGGAGGTGGCCTGCACAACTGTTCACCCACCTCTCGCCCTGGCTCCTGGCCTCCTGGCAGGTATTTGCACCCTTCCCCATGGGTAGAGGAGTTTTATGTTACTTCCTCCCGGCTGCAGCGGATTTTCATCTGTCTCCTAAAGTGACAGTTTGTTGCCCTATTT